CTGGATTGCCCATTCTCAGACTGTTTTTATGGAGAGAGTAAATTCCCACAGCCAAGTCTCTGTATTTGACAGAGGCACATTAGAATCACTGGGTATAAGAAAAGAAAGAAAAAAAGAAAGAAAGAAAGAAAGAAGAAAGAAGGAAAGAAAGAAAGAAAGAAAGAAGAAAGAGAAAGAAGAAAGAAAGAAAGAAAGAAAGAAAGAAAGAAAGAAAGAAAGAAGAAAGAAAGAAAGAAAAGAAAAGAAAGAAAGGAAGGAAGGACGGAAGGAAGAAAAAAGGAAGGAAGGAAGGAAGGGAGAGAAAGAAAGAGAGAGAAAGAAAGAAAGAGAGAAAGAAAGAAAGAAGTGAAGGAGGGAGGGAAAGAGGGAGGGAGGGAAAGAGGGAGGGAGGGAGAGAGAGAGGAGGGAAGGAAGGAAGGAAAGAAGGAAGAAAGGAGAGAAAGATACATATTTGGATCTCTGTCTCAGCTATTTTTTTTTTCTTATTCAACATACTTTTACTGGATTGGTTCCATCTATTTCTCTTTCATACCTCTCTCCTGAGTTCCAAAATCCTATACTCAGCTTCTCCTAGAACTTTTTCTTTGAATGCTGCTTAGCCACTGAATTCAAGTAAAACCCAAATGAGTTGCTTTACTCTTCCTACTCTGAATCCTATCTTTCGGTTAATGATGGCAGTTTTGACTAAGTAAGCTACCAAATCTCAAAAACTTGGAGGTAAGTCTTAATTCTTCCTTCTTCTTCACTCTTATCCTTCAAAAGATTGACTCTAATCAACTTCTACTTCAGAGTTTTGCTTGCAGCGATCCACTCCTCTCCATTCTCACCAAAATTGTCTTAATCCAGGAGGATTCTTTTTTTCCAAAAATTAGTTTTAGTAGTGCAATGACACAGCATAAAGCACTACACCATTTGACAGGGCATCCTTTTATAGGTGAGCACCAGCGTACAGTTAGAGAGCTTCCCCAATAATCCTTGTTACCAACAGCTGCTTAATCTCATTCTAAAGTAAAGTGTTCTTTCTACAGCATGCTGAACATTCACTTCAGCTTATTGTAGAAGGCTTTTCTAAACGGACCTCCTTCTTCTGGCGGGAAGGACATTTCATCTGAAAACCTATAAATGGGTCTGTGCTTGTCTGACAGTAACCAATACACTGGTCTCACATCTGTCCAGCAGCCATGGCACCAGATTTCCCGACCAGCCATGCACAGACCAACCCCACATCTGTCCAAAAGAGCATTCCTGGAAAGGCCCTGCACTCAAAACAAACCCCCACACTACTCAGGGAGGGGAACTGTTCCAGGATGAGAGGCTAAAAGAAATTGAACCTAAACTCTTCATCAGGAGTGCCCCGGTGCCTTGGCTCTGCCTGCAGACCCTTTGGCTCTTCTTTCTGGTGGCCTGGCGCACAAGCTGTCCCTGCGCTATGCAGGCTGCAGCCCTGAGAACCCATAGGTTTTGTGCCTGCTCTGGCTTCTGTCTGATCCCTGCAGTCCCCAAACAAGGAGCGCATCAGCTGCCTCCTCCTGGCCATGGGGGTTCTTCCACCGCGCAAGGTTGGGATTGCCCCAGTAGCCTACACTTTCTCTTTCGGACTGGGTCTCCGCATCTTGAGGCCCAACTCCAGCTGCTCCGCGAACCACACCAGTTCCCAAGCCAGCTGGTCCACCTGAGCCTCCGCGCTTAGAGGCGCATCCTCCAAGGCCCGCCTTTCGGAGGCCTTCCAGCCTCCATTGGCCACAGAAGCCCTCTTCAGGGTTTTCTTCTTTTGCTTCTTAGGGGCTGCGTCACTTTTATTCTCTTGGACTATTTTAAAAAGTCATACTAAATACCCCTCTATCCTCCAGTCCCTTATCTTTCCATCTATCACCGCCCTGTCAAAAAGAGTTAATTTCCAAATACGTAGATCTGCTTATGTCCATCTCGAACTTAAAAATTTTCAATTACTCTCAGTTGCCTGCAGGGTAAAGTTAAAATGTTATAAATGACCCTTTCTAAACAGCCCCTATTTCATTGGCCGCTTCTCTTCTCTTCCCCCTCCCCCAATCTGCACACCAACAGTACCAAGAACAATTACTTCCAAATCACATCTGACTGCTTGCTATTTCTATGGAATGCCTTCTCTTTCGCTATTTCTATCGTTTTATTTCAGTTGTGCCATCCACCTTAAATCCTTTTCCTCTCCTTCTCCATCAGTATACATTTGTTTCTTACTTATTTATCAAGGCCTAAATTAGACTCAAGTCAGTCATGGAGCTTTCTCTTGCCCACCTGCCACATCAGTGCAGTTAATTATCCCCTCACCTCTTACTATGCTTTTGTGCATACCACTATGACACAGTTTATTACATTGTTTGAGTCAATTTTGTATTTTGGGTTATATTTTATGTATTAATTTTACACGTCCTTGATCATCTTAAAGGCAGCATCCTGTATTCATCTTTGCATCCCCCAGATGTTCTGTAACACCTGACACAGAGATGCTCAAATCATAGTTGGGGTTTGGGACTAGTTATCTACATTTTGGCTTCCTTCTAAATAAAACTTGTAACTGCAGAATAAGTGCTTGCAGACAGATGTAAGAATGACTAGAAAATAATTTTAATTAAATGCTCTGTTATGAGAATGATCTTCAAATTCCTTTATGCTATGAATTCATCTTCTTTTCCTAAACCCTAACACCCCAGACCCAGAAAGCACTCTCCCTACTTCTTTTTAATCAAATATATTTTCTACAAGTAATGTTTCATGAACCTGATTTTGAAATGCAAACTTTACTTAATGAGCTTTGGATAATCTATAGTTTTGAATAACAAATTTCTGTAATTTTTAATGAGTTTCTCTGCTTTAGAATCATGCTTGTTACTTTTCAAAAGACCTCAGAGAAAAGGGATGACTTAGATTAGAGCTTCTTCTCAATTTAAAAAGGAAAGATAACAAGACAAGAACTCAGGGTCACTGAGAGATTAAAGCAAGTGTTCTTTGGCACATGTAAATGGAATGTATTTAAAAAGCTTTTCAGGATCTACCTGCAAGCAGATGGCTGTAAGGTATATAAAAGGGGGCATGAAATGTTCCCTGTATTCAGATTTATCTCTTCTAAAGGGAAATTGTCGGGAAAATGATGACAAAATAGTTTTGGATTTGCAATGCTATTCCTTACTTTATATGATGACTCAGCTTTTAAATTGTAAATCATGGCTTATAAACTTGTGCTTAATCTATCTGAAAATATGGGTAAATTCATGAATTTGAATCATCATACCAAACAGGAAATACAAATTTGTACATCTGGAGGAAATTATATTTTGGAAGAACAATTAACAGTAACATATTTTAACAGTATATTTTTTGTGAAAGTTTAGCTTCAACAACCCGCAAAAGTAGTAAATAATGAGAAAATAAAATTCATATGGATTTAGGCTTTGTGAATGATAGTGAATGTGTGACTGTGTGAAATAGACAAATGTAAACAGAAGATAGACATAGGTCTACAAATAAATAATATTTTGCACATTTTAAAGCAGTATAATGTTAAATGAGAAAATGAAGACTGGATGTCTAATAATCCAAAGTAAAGATACATTATTTCAAAGCATATATATGCATATACATGCTGTGTACGTATATGCATTTATATGAATGTATGTATTCAGACACCCACACAGGTTTCTGTGTATACAGCTTGTGACTATTTAAAATGCATTTTTTGAAAAGTGCCAGGGCACCAATATTGCACAGGTTGTGTTGGTTTGTTTCATGTTTTTGCAAAATTTTAATGTCAAGGAAACAAAATATTTTTTTCTCTAATACTTATTAGACATAATTTCCACATCATTTACTTTTGATCAGTGCTCTTCAGTTTCATCATAGATTCAAGGTTGTCCACATGAATAGCAAAGACAAGTCTTTGAAGGTAAACCCCAGCTCTGAAGTTTACTAGTATGACCTTGCGGAAGTTTTCAACTTTTCGGAATGTCATTTTTTCCCCAATATTAGTGAAAATGAAATAAGCAAACAATCTCTCTGGCATGCTATTGTGAGGATCAAACAAAATAAAATATAGGCAAAAGCTAGATTGTCAATAGAATTAGTTCCCTGCCTTCTACTCTTGGTGGTAACCTTCTGCTTTTGTTTTTGCAATCACATTCTTTTAAAGCATGTTAGTTCACTGAGGGAAAGTCCAATGTCAGGCTGTAGAAGTCCTAGAAATTACAAACTTACAAGTATGCTGTTATCATTTGTCTTCATGAATATAAGTTCCTAGAACATTCATGATGTTTCACTTTAACTTAAATTTATAATCTTGGTCCATGTCCTTCTCAAAGTCACTGATAACTGAATCCAATATCAAATATTATTTTATTACCATACCCGCTCTAGAGGAATGATCTACTGTTATTAAAAGATGAGTAGAAATTTAGACATTATTTCTACTATGATCATTTTATAGTGGTTTGAAACTCAGGGTTACCAAAAATTTATGAAAGTTTTTCCAGACCATCTATGTTCTATCATACTCCATTTCTACAATTACATATAGAAATAACACTTTTCATGGCCTGAATTTCTATGTTATAGAAAAGGATAATGGGAAAATGAATATCAATTACTAGTAATAAAGCCATTTTTTCATTGATTTGCAAATCCATATGCATTTATTTCATAAAAATTACGGGATTCAATTCAGAGTTCCATCTGTCCCCCTTTTGAAGTCAGAAAACCATGCTCTAAATTAGTATCTATTTCTTACCCAAGTGGCTTACAAATCCTGATTCATTCTAAAATCTGTGGAGTAAATAAAGACAAGTTGTACTGACATAGCATTTCTTTAGCTCGATTCCTTGCTAATTTAATTTCATGCAATTTAATACATTCTAATTGAGTTTATTCTAACCTACATGGACCTAAAAGATTTGGTGAAGTGAGGAGGGGTGTCACAGCTTTGTTTCAAGCATCTTCTACATGTGATGGTATAAATGGCGGGCAGTACTCACAGCTGACATGATGAGCTCTCCTCCCAGGTTCTGTATCTCAGCTTTAACTTGACTGCAGATTTTCAGTTGGTGAGAGTAAAACTTAATCTGTTCCAGATAGGCCAATAAATCTTGTTTGCATGATGGATCTGGACACTAAATAGGCATAAAAGATAAAAGTGGAAATAGCAAAATAACTTATAAGTAGATCAGAATGCTTTAATACCAACATTGGAGGTACCTATAAGGGAGCAACTTTATTGTCATGGAGCCCCATTTCTCACCCCAAGCCCATGTAGATTCTCATATGCTTCCACCATTAGAAGAGTTTATTCACGTTTCAACCATAATTACTTCAGCATAGACGATAGAAACAGCAAAGGAATTTTCAGACATGAAAAGGTACATAAAATAATTGCCTTTAATTTATGAAAAGGTTAGGAGTTTTCAGATTGCATTTTTAGGTAAATCTAAATAAATATTTTAAATGCAATTATTTCCTTCACTTAGAGTTGCTATTAGAAAACTCCTTGGGACTCATAGTTCTGCATTGTCTGTCCTTTCTTATTTATCTGGGCAAAAAAACATCTGCAACAAATCATACATTATCTTCTATTACTTTCAGCATTACACATCCTTAGCTATTACAGACAAAAGAAATCATTTGCACCTTAGATAACAGCCATGGAATCTATGTGGAGATGAGAAATAAACAACATACATGTTTTAGAGATGTATTAAACTTCTTTACCAAAAACAGTCTCCTACACTGTAATGTCATCTGCAAGGAACTTCTTGGGAGGACAGCTTTGAGCTTCAACATACCATGGTAAGTATCTGTGGTTAGGGTTAACTCTGTGTTCTTTCTTCTATGCAATTATAATAGAATTTTTTTAATCTCTGATAACTTACTTGCACTTTAAATACATTTTCATAAGGATGTGAAAATATGGACTATAATTTATATGCAAAGATATTAATTACACCATTATTTATAAAAGCAATATTTGGAAATAACTTAAATGTCCCCAAATAGTGGAAAGATTAAGTTAGAATGCGTATCTATATAATGTGATATTAGTCTCAAGAAAATATGCTCAAAGGAGGTGGGAAAATAGTTTTAGAAAGTGGAAAAAACAGTATTTGAAATTTATATGCTATCTTAATCAAATTGCTAAACAATGTGTGGTTGTGTTTGTGTTTACAACATACTGGGAAATATATGAAATAAACAAGCATGATACAATCAATAATTTTCTTCCTCTTTTACATTTCTTAAAATAGATATATATATAATTTCCATAATTATAAAAATGTTGTCAAAAAAGCTTTAATTCTAATGACCTAAAATGTAAATTGAGAAGACGATGAAAGACTGGGGTGCCTGGGTGGCTCAGTTGGTTAAGCAACCAAACTCTTGATTTCAGCTCAGATCATGATCTCGGAGTCATGAGATTGAGCCCCATGTCTGGCTCCCTGCTCAAGTCTCTCCCTCTCCCTCTACTCCTTCCCTGCTAAAATCAATAAATAAATCTTCAAAAAAAAAAGGAAAGTATGATGAAAGACCAAAAAACATTCTGTGCAATTCTTATTTTACCTAGTAATTCATAAATTGGAATGTTATTGAAAAATTCCAGAGAATCTTATTCTCTCTCATGTTTGCTAAATAGACTAGACTAGTCATAGCTATAGAATGTGTAGACATGATGAGAACATACTACCCTTGAGTCAAAGTTAATCAGAAAAGGTAGCAAAGATGGGGCGCCTGGGTGACTCAGTCGTTAAGCGTCTGCCTTCGGCTCAGGTCAGGATCCCAGGGTCCTGGGATCGAGGCCCACATCGGGCTCCCTGCTCTGCGGGAAGCCTGCTTCTCCCTCTCCCACTCCCCCTGCTTGTGTTCCTGCTCTCGCTATGTCTCTCTCTGTCAAATAAATAAATAAAATCTTAAAAAAAAAAAAGAAAAGAAAAGGTAGCAAAGAAATTTCTTTGCTTAATTAATTCTTAATTAATTCTTTCTTTTCTTAATTAATTCTGCAGAAATACTATCACAGCCTGGACATATAAATGAATAGACAGATATATGTAACCAGTCAGACAATGAGCTAAGATGATAGTGAGACCTTGACATTGAGGATGTTTCTCAAATTTTAAACAAGGAAGTAAGGGTAATTCCCCAAATCTCAAGAGGATTAAACTGTAACTAAGGAGAAGGAAGAAAAGAAGGACAAAGAGAAAGAAACAGGGAAAGAGAGGAAGAAGGAGGAAGAAGAAAAAAGAAGGAAGGGATTTCCCCCAATTTATAGATGAGAAATCAGAAATTTTGAAAGCATAATAATTTCTCCAAGATTGAAGAGCATATGTTAGAGCCAGATTTTGAACCCATATCTATTTGCTTTTAAATCTATTTTATTTTAAATCACTAACTTAAGAGAATTTGATAAGTGTTTTTTAAAATCACAGAATACTGTGAGCTGCAGAGTTTCAAGGAAATAGAGAATTCATGGGAACACTGTCTCCAGCACTGTTCTGAAGTAGAGAGTACTTAGATTTTTTCAAAGACCAAAAACTAGTTATTTAGAATTACCTATAATGATGAAAGGCAAGGCATCTCATTGTTTTGTCATGACAAGAAGTTGATCTTTACTAAGAACTTCCCAAGTGCCAAGCATTGTGCCATGTCCTTTGTGTGAATAATTCTAAGTTAGTATTCCACCATGCCATTTTACTTGAGTTTATATTGTTATTTTGCACATTTGCAAACTGAGTCTAGATAAAGTATATGATTTGTCTTAAAGATCTGATTTTACTTTTCTCTGTTTCATTCACTGCACAATGATGTCTCCTTTAAGACATTTATTCAAAATGCCATTTTCTTTTTTTTTAAAGATTTTATTTATTTGAGAGAGAGAGAATGAGAGAGAGAGAGAGCACATGAGAGGGGGGAGGGTCAGAGGGAGAAGCAGACTCCCCCCCGAGCAGGAAGCCCAATGCGGGACTCAATCCCGGGACTCCAGGATCATGACCTGAGCCGAAGGCAGCCGCCCAACCAACTGAGCCACCCAGGCGCCCAAAAATGCCATTTTCTTTGTCCTCGCTGAATAATGGTCATATCTATCATTTGTTCCTATGGATGAACGCAATGATAATCCCTGACACAGATAGTGTTTTATCTGTCATATACTATTCTCTTATATTAACTCTTTTACTAATCACCAACTCCAGGCGGTAGGTTCTATGATTATTTAGCAAAGGAGGAAACTGAAGCACAGAGAAGTTAACTGACTCATCCAGTTAATAAATGGTAGAGCTGTGTTCCAACTCACATGATCTGACTACACATCCCTACCTTCACAGTCTAGGCACAATATCAGTCTTCCTGCCAGTCTTATCATATATAATAAACAATAAATTGCCACTCTGATTTGTAAATTGGTTTCTTAAATTCATACTCTTATTTGTAAATTTTAAGTAGGAAAGTGTGGATTTGTTCCTTAAAGACCAGCACAACTACACATTTATGATAAAATAGAACTTGCAAAGTAATAATTAGGTTCTTAAAGATTTATTCATTTATTCAAGAGAGAGACAGAGAGAGTGAGCGTGAGGTGGTGGGGGTGGGGGCAGAGGGAGAGGGAGAGAGAATCTCAAGCAAGACTCCCACTGAGCACAGAGCCTGAGGCAGAGCTCAATCCCACAACCCTGAGATCATGACCTGAGCCAAAATCAAGAGTCGGAAGCTTAACCGACTGAACCACCCAGGCACCCCTAATCATTAGATTCTTGACCAATAACCAATGTTGCAATTACCTAAGGTTAAGCAAAACATATAGTTTCTCTCAAGAGACTCTTCAAGGCCATACTACAATTGTCTAAAATTATCTAATTCTGCTAAGGAAACAATGAGTAAATGAGTACAAAATTTGAAGTTCAACTTTTGAAATTCAAAGTTGTTTGACCCAGATTCACCCTTTTTTTCCAGAATTGATGAGAATTCTTTGTTACCCCTAAATACCATAGCCAGTTTTATAGGTGAAGTAGAAAAACATACTAATTGGTAAATTCCATGCTATAAAATTTATTAAAGCCTTCTTTCCTTTGACATTTGGAAAGCCTTCTGAGTCAATTTTGGCTGCATAATAGCAGAATCAGGAGAATGAATCATTCCCACTTTAAGAATCCTCATCTATTATTTGCCAAACCCCCCTTACAAAATCAAATAATGTTCTCCCTACCTTTTATATTTTTACAAAAGGGTGATAGAAAAAGTTTGGGCCCTAAATTTTAGAACATCATGCCCTTGACTTTTTTTTTAAAATAAAATTTGCATAAAAATAACTTCTAGGGTGCCTGGGTGGCTCAGTTGATTAAGCATCAACTCTTGATTTTGGCTCAGGTCATGATCTCAGGGGTCCTGGGATCGAGCCCGTGTAGCTGTGCTCAGTGGGGAATCTGCTTGAGATTCTCTCCTTCCCCCCCGCCCCTCCTCTTGCTCACCTGTGATCTCTCTCTCTCTCAAATAAATAAATAAATCTTAAAAAAAATTAAAAGAACACTGCTAGGGACTTTTAGGCAAATCAAGTGGTAGAATATCATAACACACATTGGTTACTACTTCCCAGTTTATTAAGACAGGAGATGTTGACCAGGACATCTGGTTAGCTTTTTAATGCATAGATTTTTTTTTTTAAGTTTTTTAACCCCCAGGACACTCACTACAGGAAAGCAGAAGGCATGTCAGCCTAGGTGGTTTTCTCACATTAAACCAGCCTTCACTCTTCTAACAAGATGCTTGGTACCAACACAGAATACATCATTTCATAATGAAAGCAAAAGTAAAAAACATTTAATACCTTCAAGTCTGAATTTTAAGAGTGAATTAGCAAAGTGAATATTTTTAAAGATCTTTATTCCATAAGCTTCACAATTTTTTCACCCATACTAGAGTATAAACTTTATTTAAGACACATTTAAAATGATTTTGCAATTATAGACAGCAGTTTAAATTCTGCTACGCTGGCAAAGTTTGTTAATAAAAAGTAGTAGGTGTCATTGTGAATTTCTAGAACAGAAATTTCAAGCAATCAGTGATAGCAAAGGGCTTGAGTCCATGACCTTTCCCTTCCCTCAGGGTTCATTTCTCCACTTTCTACTCCAGC